TGTAAGTGTCAGACCGTGTAGCTGAGGGCTGTCCCTGCAGGTGCCAATGTGTGGGCTCCAGCACCGCTCAGAGCTGTATTAGTCAGCCCAGATCTAAATGATGCCCTTGCCTGTAAGGGCTGGAGGAATCATTTTAGCCACAGCGTTTTGTTACTTGATGCTCCATTTTCTGTGTACAGGTCCTCACTCTGCAGGATTAGAGAGGAAGCTCCATGTAGCACAGTTGACAAAGGATCAACACACTTCACCCTTGCCATGGGGTAGAACAAAATGCGTGGACAAATTATCCCCCAGGCCCTTGGTGAGTAATAATTTCTTTGCACATGTAAGGCCCTTCATGCAATTCTGCAGCACCGCAGCTATCCGTGACACGCTGTGCTGAGCTACGGCTTCTGCCTCTAGCTCCTCCTCACTGTAAATCTACATAGGTACATCAGGCTATATATGTAACCTGTATGCTGTATGCCTACAAAATGTATTAAAAATACTGAGAATTCATGAGTTCATTTGGATAAGTCAACTATTTCTAGTATATTAAGCATATCACTGTGAGTGTGTGTGTACACGTACATATATTTTATATATATAGAGAGAGAGAGAAAGAGAGAGACAAGAACTGAAGAAAAATACATATTTCATGTGGAGTGTATTAGAAGGAGCAGAGCTGATGCTAAGGCCCAAGGCAACAAAATTTGTTTAAACATATGACAGTTGCACCACCTCTGCCCTAAACAGCATGCAAAACAGTAAATGCCAGCAGATGATGATCTTCTAACATAAGCCACTTAGTGTTTGGGGGACAGAGAACTTACCTACAGTTGATTATGGCTACCTTTCATAAGAAAACGTCTCTTTCCACACTGCGACCCTGTGTGTTCATTCAGTAGAAGCGAGGATACAATTGTACAATACATTTTGATACGATAATGCATAGGGTGCAGCCAACATATTTGGCAGATGCATCCTGCTTTTTCTTTTGTTTCTGTAACCGTATCTGAGCAGTAGATCTGTTTCTGTAATACCCATTACTGAGGTCTCACAAGATTTCAAAAATGTCAGACAGGAATGAGCTGTTTAAAGACAGGTTAAGTGAATGCAGATGGCATCACTGTTGAGGTTGGGTTGGTCTGTGGTTCCTGATTGCAGAAACAGAATCACATATAGGTATCCTCTCCCTCTCTGTATGTGTCTTTTCTCTCTCTCTCCTTTTATCTTCAGACCTCTGAGGCCATCTGTAAAGTTTGAGCTTATTTCTGGCACAGAGAGAATGAGTTGAGCTGTAGTCACCGAAGGCAACAAAGTGTACAAGTTAGGCAGACCTATCTCCTGTGTCTCTCATATCTCTCATACCTTCCTGCCTGCGTTTGGGAGATTTCATCCTGGAAACAGTGATGCTATAAGACATGGGCTTGCAAGTTCATTTAAATGTATGGTGTGTAGCGGGCCTTGTATCAGTCTGTAGCTGGCTGATGGTTGCTTGTGGAGTAGAGTCAGGGTTTATGCAACTTCAGAAAAACACTATTTTTGTGTATAAATTGAAAAGATTAAATCCTATGAAAAGAAGAACACACACTCACAGCACACCATCAATTCTGCATTCAGTTCAGGAGAACAGGAGAATAATTCTCTCTCAACAGGAGAATTCTCTCTCAAACAGGAGAATAATTCTTCCTTTGTGTATAAGTTTGTGCATTGTCCTATGCAGAAGATTTTTTTCTTTTATGTCACAAAGCTTTAAAAAAGGAAACAAAAGAAATGTTATTAAAGCCATGAGAACCTGCATGCTAAAATTCCCCTTTTCATTTAGCGCTAGTCAGAATACATAGGGGGATGTATTAAGAGTGTTACTACAGAGGTACTTCATAAGTATGCAAGGAAGTGTCTTTAAGAATTTCCAGAAGTAGCACGTAGCAGTTTGTAGGTGCCCCTGTGCTGCCCTGCTTAGCAAACTGAATTATCGAGGCAGAGTGAGCAATGGAAAGGGTGGCGTCAGAGACCTTGGTTAAAGGGTTACTAGCCTGATTCATGTCGGGGTTAGCAGCTGAAAGGAGAAACTATTGGAAGAGGAATAACACACAATCTCTTTCATAACAAGGGAAAGGTTGAGGTGTTCTTGAGAACCACAGGGCGTGTAAGGACCAAAATGTGTTTTTTGTCTTGGGATCAGTGCATTGCTTACTTAAACCTGCTGAGAGTAGCCCCCAATCTCATCATTGGAGTTTCCAGGAAAATGTATTCAGTTACTTGTTGTTTATTAACTAAAGAAATATGTTCTATCAAGATATGGTGATATAATAGAAAGTGCTTAAAAGACCTGGGAACTCTGGCATCTTCAACAGATGCCTGATAAATTCCTTTAAATAGGTCAGTATTTTTTATGAAATGCCATTCCCACATTAGCTATTATTTTTTTTATTAAAATAGCAAAGGCTTGAGAAAAAGTTTGAAATGAAAGACCAATCCATATAATATCATCTGCTGTAAGTGTTCATATGAACTAATATAATGTGAGTGTTCAAATTTTCTAACACTTTAAAACATTGTATATTTTATGGGTAGTTGTTTTTGTCCATAGATAATTTCTGCATATATCAACAGTTGTTTAATGCTTACTGACAGAAAAATGGACTTCTGGTTTATTGGTCAAGGGAAGGAATGTGATTCTGTGTCATACAGAGCGGTGACAGCAAGAGACAAATTTGTTTAAATTAAAAAAAACAACTTTGCTATATGTTACTCCTCTAAATTAGGCTTGTAAAACTTACACCTTTGATTTTAAACTAAGCGGTATGTTATGAGAAATCAAATGGAAACTTGTGGTGTTTTTAGTAAACAAAACACAAAGCACAGATAGCCAAACATATCTTCATTTATAGGATTTTTGAAAAAAAAAACAATCCTGCTAGGTTAGAGATGGATTGATTTGGGGAAAAAAAATCAGGAAAAAAACACATCACTATAATATGGATTTTCTGAACCCACCTTTCTTCCTTTTTCTGATATTCTGCATCACTGAGACTTTAACTGAGTTAATTTTTAATCAGTTGCTTGAAAGCTGTGAAGAATGGGAAAAGATATTTAAATAAGGGTTCACAAAAGTTGAGACATAGGTCAGTCTTTCTGAAAAAGATTGCATATGCATTCCAGAAAGATAGCAGCAATTGGATTTAGGTCTTGCAGTAAATTTCCATGTCACTGCAACTTTCAGATTAAATTAGTGTAGTATACACTTAAAAACCTGCCCCTGAAGATTATCAGGAAGCTAGTACAAAGTGTATTCAACAGCCTGAGGACAGTGTTATGTTATTCAAAAAGTGTTAGAGCAGAAGATCCCAGGAATCTATTTTCACTAGACTGTGTAAATCTGTGTGATAGGGAAATATACCAATATACTGAAAACAGCACTTATTACTCAGTTTGTTGACACGATTATTGTTAAAACCTGTAGGTCATAATTCAGGGTATCTGTGACGATGAGTTATGTTTCTCCTTTTTTTTTGCTAAGGGTGTAATTTGTTAGCAATGTGTAGGTTTCTAAATTTTAAACATCAAGTGTGTATCTGGATCTTTTGGTGAGAAATGTTGAATTCCAGAAGTCAGTCCAATGGATCTGGAGTCTACTAATGTACAAAGCATTGTGTAAAATCTATCTCTAGTCTCAGAAGTTTGGCAGAGTGGTTGTGTGGTTCCCTGTGTTTTTGGAGTACTTGAGAATCTACTTGTATACTTCTAAGTTGGTGTATGTGCATTGGGGAAAAAAGAAAAGAACAAGCAGTATCTTTGTTACTCTGTTTATTTTTTTTTTGCAAGAAACCAAACTTTTCCTTAAGAATTAGTGTCATGCCCTACTTTTTTAAAATGTTCACACCATGCCGGCAGAAATGCCTAGGCTCTTCTTTGTCCAGACACTGTTTTCAAAGGTTAAACTTGCTTGCCCGCTTAGACATTCCCAGGTTTCAGTCTGTTCTGTGTTTTACTTTTGCCATGCCTGCTATACATAGTTTCATGAAAAACAATGTCAAAAATGATACATACAAATGAAATAGTGTAAAGCAGCATACAACAAAAAACCTTGTAAAAAGTTTAAAAATGAATTAATAGATGATGTGACTATAGTAAATATAATAAAACTTTTTTGGCTTTCAGGTTTAAAAATGGCTGACCAGAAAAATATTGTGCACAGTGCCCATTGCATTGAAAAGTTACTGTCTGAGAATAATTTCCAGGATATTGAAAATCATCTAAAAGTGCTAGAAGGTATTGATATGACTATGGAATATCTTCAGGGGACAGAAGCTGCCAAGGCTGTATACAGAGTATTGAAGAGCTGCCCTTCAGCAGTGCTGAAAAAGAAAGCAAAGTGTTTATTATCTAGGTGGAAAGCACTTTACAAGAAAAAACATGTTCTCTCAGAGCAAATTAAGAAGACAGATTCTGTGCATCTGGAAGAAGAGAGTGAGCATCTCAGTGTGATTCCCAGAGAACAGTCGCTGTTGGATGGAGCAGGTCAGCAGGAGGTGTTAGCTAGTACTAGTTCTAAAATTCTGATCCCATCACAAAGTGTTGTGAGAAGTGTGGTATATGATGACCCAGAAAGCAACGAGGACCATCAGCTTTCTCCTTCTGAAGAGCGACATGCAAGTAATGCACATTCTAAACCTCTTGTTGATGAAGCAAGCTTGCAGCTCGATCACAGGAAAGCACTGAGGTGCCAGTGCACAGATCTTCTCTATAAAGCTTTGACTGGTTCTGCTGAAGACAAAGAAGAAACCCATAAATGGCTAGAGCTGTCAAAAGAAATTGAAGAGCATATATTTGCTCTTCATGCTAAAAATGACAAGAAGTATAAAAATTGCATCAGAAGCAAAATCTCTAACTTGAAAAACCCTAAAAATTGTCATTTAAAACGTAATCTCTCTTCAGGGACTTTGAGTCCAAAGGCCTTTGCTGAGATGACAGTGATGGAAATGGCCAGTGATGAACTGAAACAGCTCAGGGCTCTGTACACAGAATCTTCTGTTCAGGAACATCAGCTTCCACAAGCCGTTAATGGCACACAGACACACAAAATAAAGTGTAGGCGCTGTGAAAAATTCGATTGCACTGTTACAATGATCGCCAGAGGAACTCTCTTCCTGCCCGGTTGGGTGCGAAACACAAATGCAGATGAGCAAATGATGACTTATGTTATTTGTAATGCCTGTGGAGAACAGTGGTATCACAGCAGATGGGTCTGTTTGTAATACTGGAACTTCTAACAAGATACTGAGAAATAAAAATTGCAAAATGTTAAAATACATGGATATGAGAAGGCACCTCTGTAGAAACCTTGTGCAGTTTATGTTATTATGTAGCTGTTGCAATTAATAAATTGCCAGATGCCAATTAAAAAAAAAATGCTAAGTTACTTCTGAAGGCGATTGGATCCAATCTTCTGTGACTTACTGGTTTTTTAATTATTATTTTTTAATAAATATGTATGTCAGTGTGTTCAAAACCAAAAGTGCCCTATGGTTAATGTGATATCTGAAAGAGGAATGTCCACTAGTAAATACATTACAAATATTCCAAATACTGCAGAATCTCTTATTTTCTCCCTGCCACCACTGGTTACTTGGAATTTTAGTTATCTGTAGCAAGAGTTTTCCCAGAGCCTGAGTTTATAATAAACAAAATACATTTTTTTACAATGTGATTCCTTAATTAAATCACTTTTTGCAATTAAGTGTAAGAGAGATATTACCTCTCAAGCCAAGAAAAGCAATGAAAAATTATTTAAAAGCAGAAAAGCAATGAAAAATGGGATGTAGGGGTGGGAGAGGGCAGCTGGCAAATGAAAGCAAGAATGCAGTTCTATTTTAGCTGTGTTTGTAGCTGTTTGGGAGAGAAGGGAAATAGGTGAAGATTAGGGTAGATAGGGTACGTCTTTATTATTGTTATTCCAGAGTCAACAGTGACTGTATATACTAGAATTATTTATTTATCAAAAAATTTCTAACACCTTAATGTTCTTCTCACCCAAGTATCAGTCCTATTTTTTTCTTGGAAACTTATCCAGCATTATCCAAGTTATCCAGAAATCAGCCAACCAAATACTTTGAATGGTGCGTGTAACAGAGCTATTTTTTTCTCAGTTACTAGAAGCAGCCAGGTTAGGGCATTGTATGCAGCTGTGTCTGTAAAAGAGTATGTTCATATTCCATGTCCTTACTTTGTTAACTGTGGTACTTTTTACTTATAAGTAGTACTTAACTATTATTCTACTGATACAAACAAGCAAAAATCTCATTCTTTGAAGTTAACGGTGTGATTGCCTTCAGCAAAGTCATTTGCTGTGGCATTGCTCACATTTTATCATGTGAAAATTAAATAGTTGAATTGACCAACTGTAAAGCAAGTATTGAAGCATTAGGACAGGCCCTTAGTATTCAAAGATGTAACCGGCCAGTTCGTGTCTGACCTGTGTGCTGAAACTGATGCCTGTAAGGAGGCCTTTTTCTTTATGTTCAATTACTTACATGTAAAATTCTGCATTTGGCTTTCAATAAAACCATAATAAAATAAACACTTTAAAGGTTCCCAGAAAGCACAGAATTCAGTGCTGTTTCTTTGGTACTTCCGTACAGTGCTATATAAGAACATAGTGTAGCAAGACACTTCAGCTATGAACAGTGGATGCTTTAATTTCTGTCTGTGGACAACTGTAAAGCCATTCCAGGAGCATAGAGCTCAGCCAAGTTTTGTCCTAAAGAGGAGAAATGTTAAAAGTCACAGGCAGACTTTTTTAAGAGACGGAGTTTATATATTCAATAAAATCGTTGGCCATAGTACTATGGTTGTAACATCATTTTCTTTTAAACTGCACATCACCTTTAATTTCTGTCTGTGGACAACTGTAAAGCCATTCCAGGAGCATAGAGCTCAGCCAAGTTTTGCCCTAAAGAGGAGAAATGTTAAAAGTCACAGGCAGACTTCTTTTAAGAGACGGAGTTTATATATTCATAAAATCGTTGGCCGTAGTACTATGGTTGTAACATGATTTTCTTTTGAACTGCACATCACTAAATGTATAGCATTAAGCTATGCCCTGCAGCATGACTGAGGCTTTCTGCAGAGCTCTTTTTACCAAGCAGTTAAAGAATAAACAGTGGCTGTGTTGAAATTTTCTGGATCGTTGGGCCTGTTTGCCTCAGTGGTGATTCAAGTGAACTGTACCTGCTGCAGCAGCAAGCGCCTTTGCTTTCCTGTTCCTTCAGGTGCCGTTTTTCCTAAGACTGGGAGTAACAATATTCCAGCAGTACAGCAGTACCAACAATGTAACAATACGAACAACTACAGTTGTTCTGTGGTACAGAAACAATTGCTGGTAATAGAGTCAACTCATTATAACCATGGCCCCTTTGCAAGTGTCCTTCAAGCTTTCTTTCATCCATTTGGAACTGATAGCAGTTAGTGCCCTTACCACAAGTTCTCAATAGTCTTGCAGTTCTCAGCTGAGATTTTTTAAAGTAGTTTCCTATGGTAGTAAGACATGAGCAGGCATTTCTCCATGCCCAAAAACAGTTGAACCTGAGAGTTGTCTGTAACTAACATGTCTTGTGACAATGACAGATTGGGGGATAAAAGAAAGATGGGGATAGTTCTGTAAATGCAAACTAACATGTCTTGTGACAATGACAGATGTTAAAAGATGGGGATAGTTCTGTAAATGCAGTGGAATTCAGTAATCATGACAACAAAAGGAATTTATGCTCTTACCAAAAGACGTTAGAGCTGCTAACCCCGAGTCCACACCCAAATAGTTTCAGGCTTGTTGGTGTTGCCTTAAAACCAGGCACATAATATGCTGATGCCTGCCCAGAGAGTATTTTGGGATAGGGAAGAGATCTGGGCGTAGTAGCAGAGATTAACTTGGCAGAATGTACTGGGCAGAGAGGGAAGGAATGAGGGGAGCTCATTGCAGGTATGGCCAGGCCACAGGTGTGTATGAAACCAAGCTTAGTCTGGTCTAGGGCTGGTGAAGAAACTTGTGCAGATTCAGCCTCCCCTTGTGCCTTCTTCATGTTCACAGATGTGCTGCTTGCTTCATCTAATGGTTGGTAAAACTGGATATGAAACCATAAGTTACCATGTTATCTTCTCAATCACTCTATCTTACGTTATTACCTTCACTTAACTCAGTTCATCGGACGTGTAGCCATTTTTCCATCTGTGTTTGCATCCAAGTCTACTTCCAGGAAAGCAGATGTCACCTGTCGTGCCACTGTATCTGAATGCCCTGCAGGTGGTGCAAGGCCAAGCATTCCCATGTCATCCCGGTCCCATGTCATCCCCAGGCCCAGTCATCCCCGTCCTACAGACTTGCGGCTGCTATTTGAAAAGGCATGGCCTCAGTTTCGCACTGCAAGGGACGGCTCCTGGCTGCGGTTTGGCTGTATTGTTCCTACCTAGATTGTGTAACTCAGCAGGCCGATAAGTGTTTGACTGGAACAGACTGTATGCCTTGGTGCAGGGTGGCTCTAACGTGTCACGTTGCAACTACACAGCGTACACGTCTGCGTGTGGGCCCGGGAAACTGCAATACAGGAAGTGCCAGAGTCCAGGAGCGAAAATACAGGGAAAGCTTTCGAAAAAACAGATTATTCGTGTGTTAGGGAAGACTTCTTTTCTACATTTGTTCCTGATAGGAAACAAATTATTTTTTAAGCAGAGACTTTTTTTGTGTGTGTGCTATGTTTAGCCTGCCTGTGGTACAACTCCAGCAAGCCCAGTGACGCTGGAGGTACTCCAAGCAGGGTGAGGCTTAGTCTGTCTTGGACTTCACTGGGATTTTCCAGAAACTGTCAGTAAACTTGCACACACCTGCTTCCCAGATCCTATGATTTAGCAGGGAGGTTTCACATGTAGATTGTACTCAAAGCAGCCTACAGCTGCAAGACATTTAATATGTGGCTTAGGATGATGATAGCTAAATTCACAATTAAGCTTACACAATTTTTAATGTAATTTTATGCTGAGAAGTATTTGAGTAATAAATAGGGCTTCCTTAACATTCTTGACAAAACTCCCCCTGGGTCCAAGAGTTTCTCTGCAGAACCCACTGCTGGTTTTCCATTCTGCTATGGGCCTGTTACATCTCTCTCACAACTATTTTACTCTAGCACCTTACAGGGGACTCTGCTGCTGCTGTTGGTTGCTTATACTTCTTTCTTCCTTTTCTAGCCAAAAAGAAAGTTGTGCCGTTTGTTGTTTATTTAAAATGTATTTGTTCCAGTCCACTGTGCTGTTTGTAACTGACGACAAGAACTGCATCTCTTTGAACAACAACAGAAAAAAAGAGACTCCTTTTTTTTTGTTTTAGGAAAAAAATTTACCTGGTAACACTATTATGCTATGATTGAGAACCAAATTTGTTGAATCACAGTCTCTCAGGATATCTTTTGAGTGTAATGGCCCAGTTCATTGAGTGCCTGAAGATAAGAAACAAGAGCACTTTGATAATTTCTTGGATTGCTTGGAGACTTGCTTGCTGTGTTCTGGTATTAGCAGAGCAATACAGGCAGATGACTTCATATCCCCTTATTTTGTACTGCTGTAACTCAGCCAGGAGGTGACAAAGTTATGTTTTATTGAGGCCATGTCATCCCTTGCCAGGATGGGACAAGGTCTCCCTGCCAACTACGGATCGTAAAAAGCATTATTCACAAGCCCTGCTGATACAGAACCTTCTCTTACACACACACGGGGAAAAAATGTCCCTTATTTGACATTGGGATGTTACTCTGAGCCACTCGCTAGTCCATATGACAGCAAAATAATCACCTATTCATGGATAGCACTGGGTAAATGAAATCCTTCGGGTCCAAAATGAGCTTCCCGATGCAGGTGCAGCTCAGCATGGAGAAGTGGCCAGCAGCCTGGGGTGACAGGGCAGGCTGGGGCAGGCTCGTGTGTCAAGGGGCACACAAAGGAGTTCAGGTTTTTGGTTTTCTTTTCAAATCACATCATAACTTGATAACAATGATCATAACTTTCATCTTAGAATAATCATTTAACTGGGACATTTTCTTCCCTCAGCACTTCTGTGTATTATACTTCATCCCTGCATCAATGCTGATCCCCCCCCCCCCAAAAAAAAGGTACTGTTAAACTCTTAAAGTTCAGCTTTGTTATTTAAGAATGAGCCTCTTGTCATCAGATCTGCCTCCAGCATGGACTGCCTTTTAATAATCTTCCTCTTGTCAGTAGGAAATATTTCCTTTTGATAATACTGAAATCCTGTCTTTCATT